TATATATATATGAAAAAAATATGCGGAAAAACAAACAAAAATCCTAATATGCAATTATGCTGTTTTAATATTAATATAATGTCAACATCGGACGTTTCGGTCTAATAGACCATCTTCAATACATATTAATGAAACATAATTAACATTAGACTATATTCAATTCAACATAAAAAAGACGATGGACATAAGATTAAGACTGATCTTATAAAAAATTTCAGTCATCTGTTTTTTCAAACCTCTGTCAGCGGCAATGATGGAGAAAGAATTTCCTCGAACCATGGCCAGTGAGACACGCTGCAAGAGCCACTCCGTTTCATGAGGCTCGTCTCTTAATCGAGACGCAATCGTGCCAATCCTCCGAAGGAACGCCATCGAACGAAAATCTATCAGCAAGAGAAGAATATTTAACTATTTTTTTCATCTCTGCGTCCCGGGGGATGGATCCTGGCTCAACCGCGGAACTGATCAAATTACCGACCGAAAATGTAATATTAATCCTTATTTTTGAAGTCATTTCACCTCTAGAAAGGCAATAAAGTCACTAAAATGCAAGAGTTTACTGGCTGTTAGAGAGTATATAAAAAAATGAAAGAAATATACGATTATAGGGAGATTCTGTTTTGAGGAAAGAGCAAAAAAAGGCCCAAATAATAATGTTTATCTTTCTTTTAAAAACATTTCAAGGCAAAAAAACCCCTAAGATACAAGGATTTACTGAGTATTAGGGAGTATGTTAAAAAAGAGAAATACTATTATAGGGCAATTTTTTGAGGGGAGAGTGATAAAAATGCCAAAATAATCATTTTCTTTAATCATTTTACACCAAGTAAGGCAATAAAGTCACTAAGATGCAAGCAGTTATTTAGAATTAGAGAGTACGTTAAAAAAAAGAAATATACTATTATAGGATATTTTCTTTAGGGGAGGGCTAAAGAAAAGGCAAAATTAATAATCTTTATTTATTAAAAATCATTTCACCTCAACCCAGGCAATAAAGTCACTAAGACACAAGAAGTGTTAGAAAGAATGTTAAGAAAAAATAAAAATATTATTATGTGGAGATTTTTGTAGAAAGAGAGAAAAAAAAGGCCCAACTAATAATATATCTTTGTCTCCAAAGTGATCATCTTGCAGCAACTTGCTCTTCAGATAGGCTTTTACCGTCGCCATCTTTGTCGTTCTGATGATAATCTTTTTTTCTTTAGAGAGGTGTTTCCATTTTGAGTCAGTGTTATATTAAACACAGAAAATTTTTAACTTGAGAAGATTTTGAGGAAAAAGCAATTTATATAATGCCAAGTGGAATCAATGAATCATTGATAGCATTAACCGTGTAAAAACTTAAAGCGAACGGATTAATTAAACAGTTAATTGGCCTCGATTTTAGTTGTGAACTCTAGTCGTATGCTTTATTGAATTTGAATTCATTGTTTCAAATCTTTTGTTTCATTACGTCTCAATATTGAAACTTTCTAACAATTGCCACCATTTTGACGGCACGGGTACCCAAGCCATTTTATATTTTGTCTTTTGTTTCCTATTATTCTATAGAACTATATAAGGATGTGAAAAATGAAGAAGAGCAACATTTTGATACAAGAAAACATATTTTCCGTCCATATATGGAGAAATATATACTTTAATTAAGATTCGTAACTGGGAACGGAAAGTGCGATACTGAAATGCGAAGGTGCATTGAGATAGCGAAATATGCCTTCCAAAACATAAGCAAAGTATTAAGAAACAGGAAAATGTCGTTAGAAACAAAGAAATTAGTACTGAACTGTTACGTAATATCAGTTGCCTTATATGGCTGTAATTGCTGGACAAGCTCGTCACAGATGAATATGATACTTGAAAGAAAACAAAATATAAACAAAGACAGGAAATCCTAAGACAATTAGACTTTTGATCCGAATCATCCCCAGAGTCACATACAAACACACATACACGCACACAAACACTCATATATATATATATATATATATATATATATATATATATATATATAAGTTTATGAAAAACAAGGTAATCTGTAATGCTAAACCTAAGGAGGATAAAATCCAGAGAGCTCAATGTAAATCCAGAGCAAATAATTTAAATAAAAACAGACCACTTTAAGGTTCCATGTAATAAATTATTTCACCACAGACCTTTTAAAGGATTGTGGATCATCAGACTTTACTTCCAAACAAAAAAATGAAAAGAAAATTTACACATTTTTGACGGGCCGTATTAAACATATGTAAATTAACGAAGTGAGGAAGTGAGGGGGAGAGAGAGTAGACATGAGTGAGTTAGCAGATATTGACACACACACACACACACACACACACACGCACACACACACACACACACACACACATATATATATATATATATATATATATATATATATATATATATAAATAAAAGAAAGAACAGTAAGATATATAATCCGGTGTCCTTATAGGTATTTTTATTTTTACAAAATAGTGCTCGATGTAAATTTACAGAGCATCAATATTATAAATTAATTGATTTAAAATATTTTTTTTCCGCTACACAGTTCTAACCATGTTTCAAAAAATCAAAGCTAAAAGCCACGAATTTAATTTTGCAATTAAATTAAAGACATTAGTTCCATTTCATCCTCAAGCGAATTTTGGAGTAACTTTTAAATTTACTGAGTTTTAAAGACACAGCTAAAATCACGTTTCCATGGTTACAGATAAATCTACTTCAAATGGACAAGGGATGTCTGGGTTTTCCTTATGTCTGTATCATTGTATCGGTTATTAGCTACATTTTGGTAAGGGTAGGGATGTATTTTTCAATGAAAACTGACATCCGTTGAATGCATGTCGTCTGGATTTTTTAAAAATTTATTGTTAACGGCAAAAAATGGATGTTTAATGGATGTCAGTTATCAGGTATCTCCTGTTAATTATCCTCTCCAAGTTTTCCACTGCCATAACCTGGTATTGAACTCACACTCTTTGGGCCCTGTCATGGGATCTAACTAACGCCTTTATCCACTGTGTCATGTGTCCTTGAGTTTGTTCATATTATTTTCCCTTTTTTCTAACAGGCGAAATATCGCAAGACTCTTACGAATCTAGCGTTATTGCCATGGAATGTCTTCAGGCGAATTACATTCCTTAGTTCCACCAGTTTGAACGTTAACGGCTAAAACCCGCTATGCCACGAATATTTTAACTAACCACCCTCGTTCTCTTCGCATTCCATTTTTTCCCTACAAACAGCTACTCTGTGGACCCGACCTCCAAAGATGATGTTACCTGATTACTACAATATTAAACTGATCAAGGGTTAAACTATGTGAAAGTTTCTTTAGACCAATGAAAACCTTGCCTTCACAGAAATTGACCGGTCAACTCAGGAAGAAGATGGAAAATATTTGCGACCCTCCATGAAATTGTTTTGGTCCAATGAATACCTTGTTTTCTCTGAAATTACCCATTAGGTCATGAAGAAAGAAAAATAGCGAACCTATGCAAAATTCTTTTTTATATAAAATGAGGCAAAAATTAAATTAATTTGATAAGTATATTTGATGTCATGGAAAGGTTTCGTTTCTGTTCAACGTATCCAGCGTTGACGTTTTCGCGAGTTACTCGCCAATTGTATTATCGGATTGTAATAAAAAAAAAATTCTTTCAACAATTCAATAAAACTAAGTATTTTAAACTATATCTCTTTGTCTACATTTGAATGCATGCAACCGTATATCCCTTCTGTGACAACGAACCTTTGATTTAAACATTTTTTAATATTATTTTGTTTCAGATCATTTAATCTGATATATGAACATTTCCTCTTCATGACGATTTGTTAAGGCTACGGAATTTCTTAACTATTTTCCTAAAAGGAGCAACTGATACAAATTCCATCGTGTATTCGTAAATAAATTCATTATATTGTTGTTTTTTTTTTAATTACCGTGTTTCCTCGTTATTACAATCATTCATTAATATTCTTGGCGTGGGTAAATCAACTGTTCATTGTAACCCCTAGGCCACACATCACTATACCCTCATTAAAGATATTAGGAAACCTTAGAGAAAAAGAAAAAAAAGCCAGTTCAGATAGTAGCAATATTGAAATCGTCGTTGCCGTTGGCTTTGTCTCCTGTCTAAGAATTTAATTTATTCTTTGCTGATCGCTTCCTTTATGGTATTGATGACTACATTCAACGCCACAGCGCAAGTTCAGAACTAAAAGCTTCCAGTTTTACCAAAACGTGCTGCCCGCAACCACTTTGCAAAAGTTAGATGAAGGTGAAAGAATATCAGAGTAGAAAAAACTGCCGATGTCATGAATTTGTTTAAGGTGGACCTCAAATTGCCACGAAGTGACCCACACACTTGATTTCCTATGTAACATTTACGGAATGAGGCATACAGAACCCAGTTATGAAATGGCAACAGGCTGCTGCTGCTGACGCTGATATAATTTCGATTAGCGCCTTCTGTAACATGTCCGTCAGGCGTAGCACTCTTCATCTGCTGGTTCAACCGTTGCGTCGTAATAATTATCCGCTTGTTCCGCGGTTGGTCTGTGTTTTCGTCATCGGTATTGCCGCCAAGTGTGGCCCTACCAGGAGTTTAGATCTCCCGACGGATTGTTCTCAGAGTCATTGGACCACGTAATCGCCTTCACAACAACAAAAAGCGACCATCAGAGGTACGCTCATAGAAACATATCTTACACTGGAGGAAACATGTTACTTTAATGACAATAATAGAAAAAAACAATAAGCAAGGTGAGAATTAAAAGTATAAAATACCTATAAAATATATGAGAACATTTTTTTTTTTTTACTATTCCCGTTCTTCGATATAATTAAAGGAATATAGCATGTTCGTAACGTTAGGGATTAATCTCGCAAGCAACTGCTACCATCCGAATTCTCCCCCCCTTCGAAAATGGCCAATTGAAATTCATTCATCGTTTCTCGAGACATGGAAAATAAATAACTATATATAAACTTAAATTAAATGCGCTCTTGCTCTTTCTGCATCTCTCTCCCACTCTCTCTCTTTCTCTGTCTTTCTCTTTCATTTTATTTCTTTCTCTGTATACCTCTCTCTCTCTCACTCTCTTTGTCTCTCTCTCGCTCTCTCCCTCTTTCTTTCTCTATTTCTATATCTCTCTTCTTATCTCTCTCTCTTTTTCTCTCTGTCTCTATTTCTCTACCCCTTCTTCTCTTTCTCACTCTCTTTGTTTCTCCCCCTCTGTCTCTTTCTCTCCCTCTCTCTCCCTCCCACCCTCCCTCTCTCTCTTTCTTTCTCTCTCCATCTCTCTCTTTCTCTCTTCCCCACTCTCTTTCTTTCTCTCTCTATCTCTCTGTTTCTCTCTCTCTCTTCCTCACTCTCTTTCTCTCTCTTAATCTCACTCACTCTGTCTCTCTCCCTCTCTTCTTTCGATTTCTCCCTCTCTGTCTATATCCCCCCTCCGTCTTTCTCCCACTCTCTCTGGAAAGGGAACATACACCGTTTTCTCACAGAATGAACGTTTAAAGATGCTGGAAAAGGAAAGGCGCCATTTTACCTTCAGACAACCCTTTTACAAGAATCAGTTTAAGACCAAGGTGATATATTTTTTGCAGTATTTAGCCTCGATCTGTACAAATACCCCACGTTCTCTTTTCCCCTTCATCCACTGGTTCAATCATTGGAGTGGGTGGTTCGTTATCAAAGGTTACTTTAATGACAATAATAGAAACAAAGCAATAATTAAGAAAAGAATTAAAACTGTTAGAATAATGTTGATTTAAATGAATTATACCGACGTTTCGTTCTCCCACAGCAAAAAAATATAAAATGTCGAACTGAAAATGAACAAACCAAAAAAGCCTGAAAAAAAAAAAAAAAAAAAGTTATAGGTTATCACGCTTGAAAGTTTCCGTTTTTTCCTTACAATATGATTTCGAAAATGACAAAATAATTTCCTAAAGATATGTCTTCGGTTCCAAGGAAACGTCACGAAGAAAAAGGATATTTTTTTTATTTTATTTATACTTAATTTCATTTTATCATTCTCACTTTTCGAAAGAATAGTTCTAACAGAACCCTTTCGCCATTAAAATTGTTCAAGTCATTTGTTATCTCAAAAACACGTGTATAAAAGAAAAAGCCTCAGAAACGAGCACAAGTTTGTGGAGTTTAAATGTTCAGTATAGCAAAAAGAAAAGAAATATGAATAAAAAATAAAGCAATCATCAATATTTTTCGGAACGAATCATTTAAGATAGAGTGTATAGATTTTATATTTTCGTTTTTACTTTCGCTTTAAAAACGATTTCATTCGCAACAAGTACAATTGTAAAGAACAAGGAGGACTAATCATTTTGCAGGCTTGTCGCGTGAAATGCCTTTTGACAAGAGACGCTAATATGCGTCCTCAAGCAGCGTTAAAAGAGACATCAGCAGCTAGAAAAGTATCAATGAACGAACAGGGTTATATTAAAAGGAATTATAGTTTCATTATGCCGGCATGAGACATTCGACATTAACTCTTTTACGAAAATAAATTGAATGCAAAATTAGTTAAATTACCTGCATATTTTCTGAATTGTCTTCAATAACAGCAAATGCCATAATGTGCAGTCACACCAGAACATATGCGAGGGTTTATAGACACACGCAGGCACACACGCATATACACAAACACGCACATACGACTCAAAAGAACCGACAAGGTCTGTCTGTGTAATTATTGGTTTTTTGCCGTTTTCGAATAAGGTGTTGCGTATTGTGCTCGGAATTGTGGATAAACAGTTCGTTCTGCGTGCAGGCGACTCATCACCGACAACTCAATGCCGCCGACTCATTACCGACAACACACTGCCACCGACTCAGCATCACCCAACTCATTTCCAGCACAAATCAACTCCAAGACAACTCACCACCAGCCTACTCAGCGCTAGACAACTTTGAATGCAAATTCTGATTTTTTTTTCCTCTGGCAATAAAAATAATTTATTAAGGATCATTTATTCCGAACTTTAGCCTAGCTCTTGCGGAGGGCTTTTTTGGTCCTTCGGCCTTTTGTCTTCAGCGTCCTATGTACGTAAAAGTTATAAAAACTTAGAAATAATAAATTATTTTATCATTATTCGAAGTCTTAATTCGGCATAATCTTTCTTCGCATACGCAACAGATCTCCGTAGTTTGTCGACATTTATTTTGCGTACATTTTTTTTTAAAAGTTCACGATTGTTTAGGATCACTTTACTTAAAGAACCTCTTTAAAGACATCAGATAAATCGAAGTATGTTATATTTCGAATACGTTACAGTACGCATGCTAGAAAAAAATACATATGAGCAACGTACCGTACACCGCATAAGTTTTCATTAAGGTTTAATTAAATTATATCAATTGCAAAATGTGACGAAATGCGAAATTACAGTTAAATCTTTAATAAAGAATTGGTTTTTAAAACTTTCACACTTTTCGATATTTGAATTTAATTTTAAATGAGTTGTTTATTTAATTTTTAATCGTTTGTAACTACAATAATTACTGCCTGTTATCAGGTCATCCCATAAGTTCTGACCGAATTTTGAATAAAGAAAACAAATGACCAAATGTTACATTTAATTACAGATTCAATCAATAATGTATTTTCCCTGATTATCTATGACTTCCTTCCATCTATTAACAAGCTTACTAATTTCATTACTGTAAATTTCTTTGGGCTTTGATTCGAAAACTCACAACTGTCAGTTTTAACCTCTTCCTGTGTTACAAAAGCTATTTCTTCCAAATGATTCTGTAAGCTACGAAACAAATGGTAGTCTGAAGAAGCAAGATCAGGAGAATAAGGTGGATGAGGAATTTTCTCCCAACCAAGTTCTTCAATCATTTGTGACGGGATTCTTGCTGTGTGGGGTCGCGCATTGTCCTGATTTTCGATTCACTAGAGCATGTCTTTTTTTTTCCTCAATGCTTGGTTCAAACGCTCTAATTGCTGACAGTATATTTGAACATTAATTGTTGCATTAGGTGGTAAGAATTCAAAGTGGATTATTCCTTGTCGATCCCACCAGATTGAAAGAAGAACCTTTTGCCCATGAAGTTCCCTTCTCGGCTGTGGCTGGGGTCATTCCCCTTTAACAAGCTACTGTCTATGACGCTTAACATTTCGATAAAAGATCCATTTTTCGTCGCCAGTCACATGTCTATCCAAAAAAGATGAAACAAGTTGGCGAGAATGAAGAGAAGAGCAGATGTCAACTCGGGATTTGAGGTTGTTTTCAGACAATTCATGAGGCACCCATTTTCCAAGTTTAGGAACTTTTCCACGTTGTTGAAGATGACGATGAACAGTTGTATGGTTTGAACTGAGAACCACTGCCAATTCCTCAACTGATAAAGCAGGATTTTCTTCAAGGGCTGCTTCAAGAAGCTTTTCATCAAACTCAACTGGACGTCCGGATCGATCTTCATCTTCAAGGGTGAAATCTCCACCTCTGAATTTTGTAAACCATCTTCTGCAAGTTCTTTCATTTACACATTCCTCTCCATAAACTGAGTGAATGTTTCTAGCCGCTTCGGCTGCTGAGTTTCCTTTCTTGAACTCATAAACCATTATGTGCGTCAAATGATTCTTGGGTACTTCCATGTTAGCAGGTTTTAATCAAACAAAATTTAATTTTATTGTTCTCTGAAATAAAATTTGATCCGTTTAAATCCATCTAAACATAAAAACAATGTTCAGCTCCATTAGACATTATAAAATACTCTTTAAATTTCGTTCATTTTAACAAAAAGTTAAAATTCAGACAGAACTTATGGGATGACCTGATATTTAAGGTTGTTTATGATTGGCCGAAATAGAAAGACGCAGTACATTGCGCTTTATTTATATAGAAATTAAAACGTTATTAAAAATTGTATACGATTCCTCTCAAATATTTAGTTGGTGAGTGTTGTGTAAAAGAAGAAACGATCTTCAAAATTATTTCGTCTGCTTTCATGTACTTTACAATTTGATGAATAGGATGACCTCCAATTAATGGCGCGAAAAATGCATCTCGGTTTCTTTGCACATTTTGAAACCTCGTAATAAATCACCACCTTGTGGGGTGCTCAATGCCCAGCTCTATCTGCAGTCTTCAGCATGGTCATTTGTTTGATCTTGAAAATAAAAACACCGTTAGCCAAATAGGCTGTTGAGTTGGTGGTGCTGAGTCGGCGAAAATGAAATGTCCACTCCCGGTTCGTTCATATTTTTTTAAAATTTTGTTCAGGTATTTTTGACCATTGTAGTCATTATCAATCGCTATGATGTCTGCTGTGTGGTAGTTAAAATTCCTTTATCTACATCCTGTTATCTTATTATTCATTGGGAAACTGGAAGTTTGAAATAGCGTAGAGGGAGGTCAGATGACACATTAAAAATAATGCGTATATATATATATATATATATATATATATATATATATATATCGATTTAAAGAAAATAAATTTCTTTTGTATGACCATTTTTTTTTTTTTTTTTTTTTTTGCAGGACCTAGGTACCTTTCGGCCAACGCTTCATCAGGGTCTTTCGTTGGCAAATGATTTTAAACAAACAATGAAAATGAAAAGAACGCCAAAATGGTATGGTTGGAACACGTCTAAAATTTTACGAAGATATATATACGTAAAATTAAAATAAATTTACGATTAAAATAAATGCGTAAATAATGAATTAATAATAATGAACCAACCTGAGCAGTAAGATAGGAAAATAAGTTGCTCATATATCAAAAAATAAATTTAGCGATCGTGAAAAATTCTCCTTCTGTTTAGAAAGCGATGGTTTAAATAATTTGAGGCAGATGGCTTCCAAAATAGACAGATGATATTTGGACCTGCCTACGCATATAATTGAAAACGAGTCATTTTTCATTTTCATTGTTTGTTTAAAATCATTTGCCAACGAAAGACCCTGATGAAGCGTTGGCCGAAAGGTACCTAGGTCCTGCAAAAAAAAAAAAAAATGGTCATACAAAAGAAATTTATTTTCTTTAAATCGTTATATTTGTTTTGTGGTATCAAAACATTATTCCAATATATATATATATATATATATATATATATATATATATATGTGTGTGTGTGTGTGTGTGTGTGTGTGTGTGTGTGTGTGTGTGTGTGTATATATATATATATATATATATATATATATATATATATATTAATTGATTTAAAATATGTTTTTTTCGCTACACAGTTCTAACCATGTTTCAAAAAATGAAGCTGGAAGCTCCGAATTTAATTTTGGAATTTAAATTCCATTTCATCCCGAGCGAATTTTGGAGTAACTTTTAAAATTACTGGGTTTTAAAGACACAGCGAAAATCATAATTCACCTTTCCTAGGATACAGAGAAATCCAATTCAACCAGACAAGGGGTGTTTGCGTGTTCATTATGTCTGTATTTTGATATATCAGTTATTACTTACGTCTTGGTAGGGGGGGATGTATTTTTCAATGAAATCTGACATCCGTTAAATGCATCGTCTGG